ATCAGCACGGATTTGTGTCCAAGGTTCAATTAATCATATTCATCATATTTGAAAATCTGCTAAGTTTAGGTTGTTTGTTCTATCTTCTAGAAATGAACATATGACTTATAGGTTTAAAATTAAATGGATTCTTTGAATGAAAAGATGTTACATAAGGTATTATTAATGAAAAGTCATTATAAAATATTTCTTGTTCATATTTTTTATTAAGAAAAATATTATTATTATCATTTATAGACAGGGTCTCACTCTATCACCCAGGCTGGAGTGCGGTGGCGTAATCACAGCTCACTGCAGCCTCAACGTCCCCAGGATCAGATGATCCTCTCACCTCAGCCTCCAGAGTAGCTGGGACTACAAGCGTGTGCCATCGTGCCTGGCTAACTTTTGTATTATTATTTTTTTTTCTGAGATGGAAGTTTGCTCTTCTTGCCCAGGCTGGAGTGCAATGGCACAATCTGGGCTCACCTCACCCTTCACCTTTTGGGTTCAAGTGGTTCTCCTGCCTCAGCCTCCACAGTAGCTGGGATTACAGGTGCCTGCCACCATGCCTGGCTAATTTTGTATTTTTAGTAGAGACGGGGTTTCTCCATGTTGGTAAGGCTGGTCTTGAACTCCTGACCTCAGGTGATCTGCCCACCTGGGCCTTCCAAAGTGCTGGGATAACAGGCGTGAGCCACCATGCCCAGCTGCTTTATACACTTTTCTATACACTCTCCCCCTTCTACACTAGGCCCCTGCCTGGGGTCACGTCAAACAGGTGACTCTAATCCTGGCTGCATAGCAAGAGAGAAGAAATGCAGAGAAGGAACACCCTGGGGAGCCCTGGATGGAACCAGCAGGTTTTCAGGGCTACTAAGAAGGCTCAGCAGGTGGCCTTTCAGCCTCAAGAGAGCAAGCCCAATTTGATCTGTTTCTGTTTTGGTTTTGTGAGACAGAGACTTACTCTGTCGCTCAGGCGGGAGTACAGTGGCATAATCATGACTTACTGTAGCCTCAATCTCCTGGCTCAAGCAATCCTCCCACCAAGCCTCCTGAGTGGCTGGACCACCATGCCCGCCTAATTTTTATAATTTTTATTTTTTGTAAAGACAGGACCTCACTATGTTGCCCAGGCTGTTATAGAACCCTTAGACTCAAGCAATCCTCTCAACTTGGCCTCCCAAAGTGCTGGAGTTACAGGTGTGAGCCACCTAACCCAGCCTTTGATCTGTTTCGTATGTTGGTGTCCATGTTAAAAAAAATAATACTGTGGCTGGGCGTGGTGGCTCATGCCTGTAATCCCAGCACTTTGGAAGGCGGAGGCAGGTGCATCATGAGGTCAGGAGTTTGAGACCAGCATGGCCAAAATGGTGAAACCCCGTCTCTATTAAAAATCCAAAAATTAGTAGGGCACGGTGGGGCGGGTGCCTGTAATCCCAGCTACTTGGGAGGCTGAAGCAGGACAATCGTTTGAACCTGGGCAGCAGAGGTTGCAGTGAGCTGAGATTGAGCCACTGCACTCCAGCCTGGATGACAGTGAGATTCCAGAATCTCAACCAAAAAAAAGTTTTAAGCTCTACAGGTTTTTTTTTTTTGTTTTTTGTTTTTTTGAGACAGAGTCTTGCTCTGTCATCCAGGTTGGAGTGCAGTGGTGCAACCTCTGCAATCACTGCCTTCAAGTGATTCTCCTGCCTCAGCCTCACAGGTGGCTGGGACTACAAGCACACGCCACCACACCGGCTAATTTTTACATTTTTGGTACAGACAGGCTGGTCTTGATCTCCTGACCTTGTGATCTACCCACCTCAGTTTCCCAACGTGCTGGGATTACAGGCATGAGCCACTGCACCTCCTACAGTTTTTTTTTTTTTTTAAAGAAGTTCAAAAAACTTCATGGTTCAAAAAACCATTTAATGCTCAGACATCTGGTGTTCTAATTTCCAACCTAGGCCAGGAGACAAGGGTCAGAAAGAGACTTGTAATCTACCCCCAAACCCTTTTTCTCCTCCTCTCATTTGGTAAGCCTATCCAGAAGAGTAACTGCTGAGACAGAGAGAAAGGGAACAACTCAGCTAGACAGACACGAACCCCAGTCCAGAACCCAGGTCTCCTGATACCACCCCTAGCTTTTGTCCCCCCAGTCCCCCACACTGCCCTGGCTGGAGAACAGAAACTCAGAGCATAGGCACATACGGCAGGATATGCTGGGGACAGGCCTGTGGAGGGCCCTGACATGCTAAAGACAGTCTGGACTTCTTCCTCTGTGGAACCACAGCTTTCTAAGCAAGGATGGCTTGGTCAGGACCAGGCTGGAGAAGGGAACTCTGACAGTAATCTGCGTACTCTCCCCACTCCCTACCTCTGTCCTGCTATTTCATCCTCACCCACTGGATAAACGCTTCCCATGTAAAGGCCAACTCCAACCTGGTAATAATAAGCACTATGAAAAACAACTACTTGTGATGGAATCATGGAAACGCTGACACAGTGGTGGTGTGAGATGCCCCTCTGAAAAGCCTTGTTAGGCCCAGTCTTTGTAATTTCGTGGTGGCTCACAGGAAGCGCCTGGGAGCCAGATGCTTTCTGCCTGTGCTCAAGGCCGTAATTTCCTTCCCATACTTAAACCGATGACCCTGTGTCTCCCTAACAGGGGAGTCAGCCAAGGGAACAGGGCAGATAAAGAAAAGGCAAAATCTGAAGAAAACTGGCTGATTTGAAAAAAATTCCTCAGATTCTTCTTGAGATGAATGACTAAGAAGACTCCTACGTGAACATGATTTGCTGTCTCTCCAAATAAAAGCCCCTGGAAGGCAGGCAGAGCTGGGAGGGCTGGCAGCCAGCTCCCTCAGGTCACAGATGTGGAAGCTGAAAGGGAGAGGAGAGGGCTGTCATAGCTGTCTGTGCCCTAAGAAGGGCCTTGCTCCCACGCCCCCACTACCCCCTGCTGTCTCTCCACTCCCTGCAGAGGTGATCAAGACCCTAGAGTCAAAGTAACTGGGAAGGGGACAAAAAAGAATGACGTCCAGCCGGCCTCATTTATTACAGCAATAATCCCCACCCATCACTAAATGTATACATCTAGAACATTCTGCTTATACGTTCTATATAGCACCTAGCCACCGCTCAACACTTCAAGACACATTTCAGAGAAAAAAAAAAAAACAGACAAATTTCAAACTATAAGTAACACGTCCTGTTGGAAAGCCTGAAAATAACTAAGAAAACATTTGTGATCATACAAGGAATTGAATAAGTAGCATTTTCTTTTTTTTCTTTTTTTGAGACGAAGTCTTACTCTGTCACCCAGGCTGGAGTGCAGTGTGAAGTGACCTCGGCTGACTGCAACCTCCACCGCCCGGGTTCAAGTGATTCCCCTGCCTCAGCCTCCTGAGTAGCTGGGATTATAGGCACGTGCCACCACGCCCAGCTAATTTTTGTATTTTCAGTAAAGATGGGGTTTCACTATGTTGGTCAGGCTGTCTTGAACTCCTAGCCTCATGATCCACCTGTTTCGGCCTCCCAAAGTGCTGGGATTATAGGCCTGAGGCACTGCCCCGGCCATAAGTAGGATTTTCTGTGAAGTGCTAGCTTCGTGATTTTCCTTTAGATAAGAGACCAGAATAGTAATTTGTTCTTCCTTATCAATTGCCATTCCTTAGAAAGTGCTTGGCCAGTAATTTCAGGAAGATCAATGAGTCATCTCTTATCACTGCTTTAGCCCTGGGCCTTAAGAAGGAAAACAGGTCTGGCCTACTCTTCCATGACAGCTGTCCTACCTGCTAGAGGAAGTCACCTTGACCTCATATATTTGGCTGCTATTCAGAACACTATGTCTCTTGGTCCAGATTATCAAAAGCATACGTTAGGAAACAACATACCTTTCTCAGTTACGTATGCACAGAATGCCCAAGATAAACCCACCGAGTGGTTCCCTCCGTGGCCTTACCTCCTACTCCCTGGCTATGAATGGCCCTGGGAAGAACATAGAGCAGCTACTTTCTTTTGAATCGTCTTAAAATCAACACACAACAAATAGCTATTGTGGATTTCTAACTCACAGCAGCGAGAGTGGAATAGGAAAGCACATCACCGTTATGAAAAACCTTGTCAGCAGACCGACTCTGACCCCCACAGCATCTACTAAGTCAAAACCTTACAGGAAACTTGCAACCTGGCTAATGTGACTACTGTGTGCAGAATGAAGAGGGTTTGGGGATGAGCAGGCATCTCAACCTAGCTCCTTCACTACTGCATGTATCTTCCCAACGCCTCAGACCACCCCGCTGCTCCTGAATCCATCTGTGATTTCTGCTATCTGCTCAGAAAACCTCCTGCCAAGACCTTAACTGAAGAAAGCCTGTCAGGGCCTCAGCTTTACTGTCTCTAACACCGTGATCCTTTCTGCCTGTTACCTCTCCTCCAGGGTACAGGTGTGGGCACAGAAACCCGTGTAATCTGTTCATACCAAAATGCGGTACCATACACACCAACGCTTTAGTCTTCTTCGCTGAGGACATCACGGATTGCAGTCAGATAAACAGCCCTTTAGGCCCAGTGAAGAATCATATACAATAGAATAAGGTGGCATTTTCCTCACTGTGTGTGTTGGAGGAAGTTCTGTGATAACGTGTTGCTCCCTAAATGTAAATATTCCTCTACTGTCTTATTTAAAACTTAGAGGGGACCATGGTGACTACAATATATGTGTCATGGCTTGTCAAGCCTCATGACTAACTGAGTTCCAAAAACTGAGGCTGCCTGACTCCACTTTCCTTACTGACTATAACAGGAAGCTAAGTTCAGCCAGTTGAATCACTGAGAGCTGAAAGCCAAGCGAGGTTCGGCTGGGCTCAAAAGCTGTATGTCCACATTCCATACCGGTAAGGCTGCCGGGAGCAGATGGCACAGACTAGGCTAGAGCGTGTTCAATATGGCCTCTCACACCCCTTTCTCCGCTCCCCTACCCCAGACCTGCATTCCTACAGGCGCAAACCCCACTCCACAGTTGAATACAGTCAGGCCAGTGTTGTCTGGCGTCACCAAGTTTTATATATCGTTGCTTCTAATTAAAGGCCATTTGATTTTCAGAAGTTAATAAAAAAAAGGCCATAAACCGGTATCATACCATAAGAATGCCAAGAATGCTAAGTACCCAACTCATATTCTTCCAGAGTGACCTTTATTAAAGGCTGCCTCTACTACTTTGCCAACTAACATGTCAGGTGGCAGGAACATTTCTACCTATCACAGCCTACTCCACTTTAAAAAGCAAAGGCAAGTGAAAAGGCCTTCTTTAAGTAATCAAAGCCGCTCAAATTCCTCCGGCAAAAAGTCCTAGTACAAACAATCTCAAAAATGGCAAAATCAAATTTCAAAAGCCACGTCCAGTGCCAGCAAGTGATTCAGAAGAATTCTGAGAAAGGTAATATTAACATTTTAGTGGTGGAACCCTTGGAGAGGAGCCAGGAAGCCTGGACTCTCTCCTAGCTAGGTCATTAAATCTTGCAGGGGGAGGGAAGGCACACACAGATAAAAACTAGTCAAATGGCATCTCGCAGCCAAGCTATCTTGACAGCTCTCGGCCGTCAGCAGGACCTAGACAATGATGCTCTTCAAGAAGACAGGTGAGTCTCTAGGGGCTAATGATAACCTAAGTGCATGCAATTATAATTGGAATGATAACAATCAATCCCTACCCTTGGAATGGGCACTCAAATTCAACAGCTGAGAAAGTCAACATATGTGCTGCCAGGGAAGCTAGATCGCCTGGATCCCCACAGCCTCATGCGTTTCTTCCCACGCATACTCTTGCTTTCCTGGAGCAGCAAGTTACCTTTTAAAGAACAGATTTGATCATTTTTTCGAGACAGAGTCTAAACTCTGTCACCCAGGCTGGAGTTCAGTGGTGTAATCTCAGTTCACTGCAACCTCTGCCTCCCAGGTTCAAGTGAGTCTTCTGCTCCAGACTCCTGAGTAGCTGGGACTACAGGCATGTGTCACCATGCCCCGCTAATTTTTAGTACAGACAAGGTGTCACCATGTTGGCCAGGCTGGTCTCGAACTCCTGACCTCAAGTGATTCACCTGCTATGGCCTTCCAAAGTGCTGGGATTACAGGCGTGAGCCACTACACGTGGCATGCTCTTCTATTAAACACCCAATTTCTCACTCCCTATGTGATCTCATGTCCACCATTCTAGCTTTTTCTCACTAGACTCTAGTCACTGTGGCCTTCCTTGGGTTCCCTGGATGCCTTCATTAATTTATTTTTATTTGCCCATTCAATCATTCAACAAAAATTACTGAGCAAGCGCCTACTATTGTGTCAGGCACTGTATTAGGCATGGGGATACAGCAATGAACAATAAAAGACAAAGATGCCTGCCTCATGAAACTTACATTTTATCAGAGGGAAACAATTACAGAACAAACTTAGGTTAGGAAAGAAATTAGAATGGGGAAAAGGCAAAACAGGGTGAAAGCCTTGGCACGTGGTAGAGGGTATGCCCAGAGCTGAAAGGGATGCCAAAGCAGGTCCCATCAAGCAGGAGGCATGAGAGCAGCCATAGGGAGGCAAGGGAGTTAGGAATGTGGGCACCAGGGGGACAGCGTTCCAGGCAGGCGAACAGCAACTGCAAGGGCCTAAGGCCAAGGAATTTTTTTTTTTTCCGTAATGTTTGTTTCTCATTAATTAACTCCACAAAGATGGGGACCTAATGCCTTATCTATTCTGCTCCTCATTTGACCTCAGCAACACATACAGTGCTGGCTCAATAAATACCTGCTAAATGGAATTAATGAATTAGTGTCTAAAGAAAAAACCAAAAAGCTATCCACAAGTAATTTAAGTGTTACCTCAAGTTGTAAAGGCCTTGCAGAACTTGTTGCACAGGTTTCAGATTTGCTAATAAAGGCTGGGTGTGGTGGCTCATGCCTGTAAACCCAACAGTTTGGGAGGCCAAGGCAGGCAGATCACTTGAGGCCAGGAGTTCGAGACCAGCCTGGCCAACAGGGCAAAACCCCATCTCTACTAAAAATACAAAAATTAGCCAGGTGTGGTGGCATACGCCTGTATGTAATCCCAGCTACTTGGGAGACTGAGGCAGGAGAATTGCTTGAACCTGGGAGGCGGAGGCTGCAGTGAGCCAAGGTTGCACCACTGCACTCCAGCCTGGGTGACAGAGTGAGACTCCATCTCAAAAAAAATACAAAACCAAAAAAACCAAATTTACAAATAAAATTTATGATCAAAGCAAATGTAGTGCCACTTCAAGGAAGATGCTAACAATACCATGATGAGTCTAACTTGTCAAGGCATTATCCCAGAGAGGTAAAAGCATAAAAGGTAAAGAACTAAGACCTTTTCAAGACCATAAGGTAATCAACAAATTCAATTTATATAGAAAAATCAACAGAAAATCAGAATTCCTTATTTATTCCAATTACTTGCCCAAGCCATTGACGGATGTATCAGTTAAAAGCTTGTCTTGAATGAATTATCTCCCACTCCGCTACCATAGCATCCGTTCTTAAGAGAGAAACAATTCATTCAAGACAAATTTGTCTTGGATGTACAAGTTTTTACCTAGTCGTCGGCCCTTAAAGCTTGAAATATCATAAGAGTTTCCTCATTGTTCTGTCCTAGTTGAAATCACTGTGTAAACTGCTGTGGGTTAATCTTTTTTATTTTTTGACGGGGTCTCACTCTGTCACCCAGGCTGGAGTGCAGTGGCGTGATTATGGCTCACTGCAGCCTCAACCTCCCAGGCTCAAGCGATCCTCCTGCTGCAGTCACCCGAGTAGCTGGGACTAGATGTGCAACCACACTCAGGTAATTTTTGTATTTTTCTGCAGAGACAGGGTTTCACCATGTTAGTCAGGCTGGTCTGGAATTCCTGGGCTCAAGTGATTTGCCAGCCTCAGCCTCCCAAAGTGTAGGATTACAGGAGTGAGCCACCACACCCAGCCTGGGTTAATCTTACAACAGTTTTTACTGCCACAATCCCAGTTCAATTTGACCCCAATCTTCTTTTCCACCTTCATTTTATCCTTCAAAAAGAACTCCATGGTCCAGCTAAGCTATTCCCTGAACCTGCGTGAGCATTCCTGCCTCCACCCACCACTCCCTGGATCCCCTTATGTGGAATGCCACTGGGCCTCTTCTCCACCTCTCTGAATGTTATCAGTGTAAAATAATGCCTTCTCTGCCCATCTGCATTATGACAAATGCATCACCCAAGCAACCACAGCATTCATTTTGCCACACGTGCCTTTCTACACTCTCCTCTGTATCAGCCAAACTGAAAGCCTGCACACTACATTTCCCAGACTCCTTTGGCAGTGGGCTTCCACAGTTAGGTTCTCTATGGCTGGAGACTGGATGGCAAGTGGAAGGATACACCACTTTTTTCCTGTTACTGGTCTGTCTCTGGCAGCAGCAGGAGCAGTGAGCGACTACGAAGAATGCAGGCAACTGCACACACTGCAGGTTCCAGCACATCAACGCAGTGCTGGCTTCCGGGTTCCGGTGAACTGCAGCAATACAGCTCCGACAGCAGCAGCAGCTCATCTGTGCGTGGAGGCTCCTGGGTTCTAGCCCACAGGCAGCTTTCTCACCTCTGGATAACAACCCTCTTCTCCCTTTTGCTTCTCCTAAGCCTTTCCAACACCTCTCTAATAAATCCCTTGCATTTAAATCCCTTTCTACTGGTTTCTACTTTCCTGATTGGACAATAATAGATACAAAAACAGAGAAAGAGGAAATAAAAAGAGCAATATTAACTAAGATGGAAAATGAAACATAAAATGGCAAAGGAGTGAGGACTAGCAATTAAAAAAAATATCCTGTGAAATGAAATTCCAGAAAATTTCTCCCTAGGTATATTCCAATTAATTTTTGAGTTCTAAAAATGAAGATGCTGGTTGGCTGTGTATTTAGTTGTTTTTCTTTCTAATTTTTTAAGAAAGTCATTAAGTGTACCTCTTTGGCTAAATCAAGTCTCTGCGGAATCGGGAGAACCCTTCCTTGTATGTTTCCTCAGAACCTCACACACAGTAGACACTTCTTAGGTAACTGGTGTCTGCCTGGTGATTGGTATAAGGCTTTGGAATTCACAGATTGGAAATGAAAGCCATATAAATGGTCAGTCTAATTCTAAAAAGCAATTTGAAAACAAATCTCATGCAAAGCACTCAGCAAAGGATTCCAAAGCCCTTTCAGCCCTGAAATGTAGCCACTGGTGGGGGAAGGTGGAATTCAACTGGCAGAGGGGGCAGAGATTTTTGCCTTTTCCCTTGACCCTGTATAGGCTGTTTCTGGGTTTCTCTAGGGCCTCTTTTTTTTGGTTTAAGATCTAGCCTGAAAACCCCATTACAAAAAACTGCCTCAGAACACAGTTTACCTTTCTTGGAAAGATGAAGAACTGAGTCAGTCTGGAACAGATTCAAAGCTCCCGAAAATCTGAGTTTTCAACCTGCTCAGAGATTGTTTAGACAAATTTGTAAGTCTTAACTAAAATTCATTTTCAGGTATTATTTTAGGCCAAGATAAGCATAAAGTGTTGGAGGTCGTTAAAAAAAAAAAAAGACTAAATAAACTCACTACCTTCAGGGGTTAACTACTAAAACGATACTTACGGTCCTTCATCACTGCATCTGCTAACCCCGCTTTCCAATAACAAAAAATGGACACCTTGGAGAAAATAAGTGCACCCCAATAAGCGCGCAAAGCAGCTTAACTCCTGCTGATTTCCAGGATGACTGATGACAGTGGGCCAGCAGCTGCTGTCATTCTCATACTTCCTTTGACAACATGCCGAAGACTGGGCGTGGTGGCTCACGCCTGTAATCCCAGCACTTTGGGAGGCTGAAGTGGGTGAATTGTGAGTTCAGGAGTTCAAGACCAGACTGGCAACATGGCAAAACTCTATCTCTACCAAAAAAAAAAGAACCCACAAAAAATCAGCCAGGCATGGTGGCGTGCGCCTGTAGCCCCAGCTACTTGGGAGGCTGAGGTAGGAGGATCCCTTGAGCCTGGGAAGTGGAGGTTGCAGTGAGCTCAAATCGAGCCGGTGCACTCCAGACTGAGTGACAGAGCAGGAAGACCCTGTCTCAAAAGGGACAACAACAAGAAAGCATTATCAAGTAGATAAATAAATGCTTGAACATTTTTAGCTAGTCCATCATTACTTCTAAAAACCTTACCATAGGAAACCAAGCCGTACAACCCATATAAGCATTTCTCACAGTAACCCAACAGAGCAGGTCCTATTATAATCCCCATTTTACAGATGAGAGAGCAGACAGACTTGCAGAGGTCAAGAGACTCGTTCAAGATCACCCAGCTTAGTATGGCCCCAGCTGCCTGCCTCTGAGGACCACGCGTGTGGCTTAACCCCAGTACTGTAGTGCTGCAAAGCCAGAATGGACAAAAACAGCTGCTGCACGGCGTAAGCTTTCTACAGAAGCTACCACTGCTACAACCCACTTGCTCTTTTCCCAAAGCTCTCCACTGTGAGGGGGATAGTCTCTTACGTATTTACATTGCAAAACTTCATAATATATTCCCCACAATATTTTGTGTATATAACTTACGATGCTCAAAGTACTATTACAAAACTTGCCTTATCAGCTTTTATTTTTTTGAGACAGGGACTTGCTCTGTTGCCCAGGTTAGAGTGCAGGTGCAGTGGTGCAGTCACAGCTCACTGCAGCCTCGACCTCCTGGGCTCAGGTGATCCACCTCAGTTGGGACTACAGGTGAGCATTACCATGCCTGGCTAATTTTTTGTCAGGGTTTCACCATGTTACCCAGGCTGTTCTCGAACTCCTGGGCTTAAGCGATCCTCCCACCTTGGCCTCCAAAAGTGCTTGGGATTACAGGTGTGAGCCACCGCACTGGGCTTCCTTATAGCTTTTTTTTTGAGATGGAGTTTCATTCTCCTCACCCAGGCTGGAGTGCAGTGGTGCAATCTTGGCTCACTGAACCTCCGCTTCCCTGGTTTAAGCGATTCTCCTAGTAGCTGAGGCTACAGGCTTGTGCCACCACACTCAGCCAATTTTGTATTTTTAGTAGGGACGCGATTTCACCATGCTGGTCAGGCTGGTCTCAAACTCCTGATCTCAGGTGACCCGCCTGCCTCAGCCTCCCAGAGTGCTGGGAATACAGGCGTGAGCCACCACACCTGGCCTTCCTCACAGATATTAAAACCCACCTGGGAAGGGTAAGTATTCTCTTCTTTCCAGAGACAAGGGCATTGGAACCTAGAGACTAAATGATCTGCCCAAGGTCAGAGGATTCCATATGCTGTCTCCTCAATGGTACTACTGATATCACTCAAGCCTCATAGAAGAAACAGAATTTCTGCCAGAGTTAACCATAAAGACCATTTCCAATTGATGGGAAATGGTTGCCTTTCAACTTCAGTAACTTGCAATTAAGAATATCATGTTACTTGCCTGAGCATTAAACTGTGAGAAAACACCAACTTGCACTTCATTTCCCAAACCAAGGAAGGGATAAAATGCTATAAGATTTTGTCCTTAAATTTCAGCTCTTTTTTCCCCCTCATCCAACTGCAAAAATTCATTTCTACTTACACAGAAAGTGTATCTTTTAAAAAAATTACCCCAAAAAATGAAGTTCACTATTCTGAAAATACTCTTTCAAGGCTTCAGGAAGAGTACCTTTCCTACCAACTGGACAGCAATAGTCACAGAAATCCTAAGGGTCTGACCCTCCTCTAAGAATGATGATAAGTTATGGCTGGGCGTAGTGGCTCATGCCTGTAATCCCAGCACTTTGGGAGGCCGAGACGGGTAGATCACGAGGTCAAGAGATCGAGACCATCCTGGTCAACATGGTGAAACCCCATCTCTACTAAAAATACAAAAAATTAGCTGGGCACGGTGGTGCGTGCCTGTAATCCCAGCTACTCGGGAGGCTGAGGCAGGAGAACCTCAGGAGGCGGAGGCTGCAGTGAGCTGAGATCGCGCCATTGTACTCCAGCCTGGGTAACAAGAGCGAAGCTCCGTCTCAAAAAAAAAAAAAAAAAGGAATGATGATAAGTTAAATACCATGGGAAGAAAATCAGACTCAAATTTAAAGGAATTAAAGTGCCTGTAGTAAAAATCAGTGAGTAGTTGAAAATCTAGAAAATTTATCTCTCTATTATCTCAATCTCAAGGACCGTTACTCACAAAACGGCAGAGTAAGACAGGACATAGGAGACAGCAGAAAAAGATACATGGCTTTCCTTTCACTAAAAGTATGGCCGGGTGCGTGGCTCACGCCTGTAATCCCAGTGCTTTGGGTCGCCAAGGCAGGCAGATCACCTAAGGTCTGGAGTTTGAGACCATCCTGGTCAACATGGTGAAACTCTGCCTCCACTAAAAATACAAACTAGCTGGGTGTAGTGGCATATGCCTGTAGTTCTAGCTACTTGGGAGGCTGAGGCAGGAGAATCGCTTGAACCTGGGAGGCAGAGGCTGCAGTGAGCTGAGATCGTGCCACTGCATTCTAGCCTGGGCAAAACAGTGACTCTGTCTCAAAATAAGAAAGGAAAAAAAAAAGAAAAAAATAGGATAGAGTGTAAACCAAAGTCAATTCCATCTAAAGTTTCAAAAGAAAAAATAAAAAGTGCTCCAAGGAATGAGTCATAAGGTGATATTTAGAAATCAAGATTATCTTAGAAATTTCACATCATTGATTCATTCTCAAATACTAACTTCAAGGTAAGAATCTCACTTTATCAACTTATTTTTTTCTAAGTTCACCAGATTTAAAGAAAGCTTGACTTTGTCCATGAACTCCCAATAGTGTGGAAAATAATTTCCCTTGAAATCCACAGGCAAGGGATTGCATCCTAATTGCATCATTTGCTCTTTGTTTTGAGGATACTGGAGATAATTTTAAGGGCAAGGGAAAGACTTGTGCTTAAAAATACTCAGCCTAATTACAAAACGGAACACTTCAAGAAGAACTGCACCCTGAATTTATGGCTGAATAAAAAAACAAACCCAAATCAGTAGAGAAGTTTTGTTTTTCCCTAACATGCCATGCAGCCTTCACCAATATGAAACTGTATTTAAGAATAATGGCAGAGACAGTCTAAAATCTGAGAAAGAGAAAGAGAGAAAGAGGAAGGAAGGAAGGAAGGAAGGAAGGAAGGAAGGAAGGAAGGAAGGAAGGAAGGAAGGAAGGGAGGAAAAATATTCATAAATAAATGTACTCTCCCCAGATACATTTCTCATTGGTGAACATGGTATTATAAACTGACATTCCAATCTAGTTAAGGGATCATTTATTGAAAGATTTAAGTCCCCAAATCTACCTAAACCCTGACATCATTAGTTCATACTCCTACTGATGCAAAAAGCTTCTATTAAATTTTAAACTTTTAAAAATCTAAGTCAAAACCAAGGGGGGCAAAACTAAGCGGGGAGAGAAGCATTCATAATCAACAAGAGAATCGTGTTTTGTAATCTTTAAAATGCTTTCTCATTTGATCCTCAAAAGGATCCCAAGCTGAGGTTGGTGCCCATTTGTCAGATGACAGAATCACAGGATTTTAAGGCTAGAAAGAACTAACTTCCCATCAATGCTTCCCACTAGAACAAAGAAGGGGTCTTATCTGGTGGCTACATACTGTATTCTCAGGACCTAGAGGAGTACCTGGTATGCGACAGATGCTCAT